CCACAACATACACAACTGAACCCAACGAACCAGGACAGTATGTAATTAAACCATCGAGTCCAGAAACTCCATATGAAGAACCAGGCTCACCAGAAGAAGTAGTTTATTCACCGGAAATCGGCAGTGATGTACCAAGTGATGTAGAGTATATCCCGAGAGAAGAAGAACAAATGCCCGATAGCAAAGAACCTACGCCATATTCTCATGTGGTCCCGACTCACCCAGATTACCATGATGAACCAATAACTTACATATCGGAACCCATTGAACCAGAGCAGAATGTTATCGAACCATCGAGTCCCGAAACTCCATATAAAGAACCGGGCTCACCAGAAGAAGTAGTTTATTCATCGGAAATCGGCAGCGATGTACCAAGCGACGTAGAGTATATCCCGAGAGAAGAAGAACCAATGCCTGATAGCAAAGAACCTTCGCCATATTCTCATGACGTTTCTACTCACCCGGATTACCATCATGAACCCACAACATACACAACTGAACCCAACGAACCAGGACAGTATGAAATTGAGCCATCGAGTCCAGAAACTCCATATGAAGAACCGGGCTCACCAGAAGAAGTAGTTTATTCACCGGAAATCGGCAGCGATGTACCAAGCGACGTAGAGTATATCCCGAGAGAAGAAGAACCAATGCCCGATAGCAAAGAACCTACGCCATATTCCCATGAGGTCCCGACTCACCCTGATTACCATGATGAACCAATAACTCACACATCGGAACCCAACGAACCAAAACGGTATGTTATCGAACCATCGAGTCCCGAAACTCCATATGGAGAACCAGGCTCACCAGAAGAAGTAGTTTATTCACCGGAAATCGGCAGCGATGTACCAAGCGACGTAGAGTATATCCCGAGAGAAGNCATGAGGTCCCTACTCACCCGGATTACCATCATGAACCCACAACATACACAACTGAACCCAACGAACCAGGACAGTATGTAATTGAGCCATCGAGTCCAGAAACTCCATATGAAGAACCAGGCTCACCAGAAGAAGTAGTTTATACACCGGAAATCGGCAGCGATGTACCAAGCGACGTAGAGTATATCCCGAGAGAAAAAGATCCAATGCCCGATAGCAAAGAACCTACGCCATATTCTCATGAGGTACCGACTCACCCAGATTACCATGATGAACCGATAACTTACACATCGGAACCCAACGAACCAGGACAGTATGTAATTGAGCCATCGAGTCCAGAAACTCCATATGAAGAACCGGGCTCAC